TTTTTTGAGACAGAGTGTCATTTTGTCGCTGGGAGCCAGGCTGGAATGCAGTGGCAAGATCATAATCTCCTCAAACTCCTGGGCTAAAGCAGTTCTTCTGCCTCAGCCTCCTGAGTAGCTAGCTACAGGCGTGTGCTACCATGCTTGGGCAACTTTTTTATATTTTGTAGACACAGGTCTTGCTGTGTTGCCCAGGGTGTTCTCAAGCTCCTGGCCTCCAGTGATTCTCTTACCTCAGCCTTCTAAAGTGCTGAGATTACAGGTGTGAGCCACTCTGCATGGCCAGCACCTAGAATAGTGCCTAGCATATACTCAACAAATGTAGGCTGAGCCAGATTACCTTATTTTTCAGGGCTGAGAGATCCGGTTAATTGGATCATAGCTAATTCTGTTCTTTTTTTATTTTCTATTGAGACGGGGTCTTGCTTTGTCCCTCAAGGTGGGAGTGCAACGGCACCATCATAGCTCACTGTAACCTTGAACTCCTGGGCTCAAGTGATCCTCCTGCCTCAGCCCTTTTTTTTTTTTTTTTTTTTTTTTTGTTTTTGTTTTTGTTTTTGTTTTTGTTTTGTTAAAAATATTTGTTTGTTTGTTTTTTAGAGATGGGGTTTCTCTATGTTGGTCATGCTGGTCATGAACTCCCACCTTAAGGTGATCTGCCCATCTCAGCCTCCCAAAGTGCTGGAATTACAGGCCTGAGTCACCACGCCCAGCCGAGATGGTCTTTCTTAACTCCCATATTTTCTGAATAAGGAAAAGGGAAACTGAGAAGAGCTAAGAACTTAGCCAGCTTTCATGTACTTACCATGATACAGTGGGAAGATCATAGGCTCTGAAGTTGGACTATAAATCCAGATTCTTTGGCTCATAGTCTTGGATTTTAGGTTCAAGGAGGCTGTTTTAACTATGTTAACCCCTTATCCATGGGGGCAGAATGTGGTAAATTTTAGCAGACTTGAAGATTAAGCCAGGAAAGTTCAGTATAATATCTATCCCAATGATTAGGTAGTTGTGGCTCTTAGTAGACACGATTAGTCTGTACATAGAGTATTCTCAACTCTTTACTAGACTAGATGTGCGGAAGTTGACATAGCTACACAAAATTTTAATAAATTATCAGGTAGTGGTAAATGCTAATGAAAAAAGTGAAGCGGAATAAGGAGTGATGCTGGGGCAGGTCATGTTGCTATTTTAGGAATAGTAATAAAGGCCTCACTGATAAGGTGACTTTAGATTCGAAACTAAATGAAGTGAAAGAACAAACCATGTATAGCTCTCTGGAGTTTTCCATTTAGAGAGGATAACAAATGCAAACAAACATGGGTAAATTTGAGGAAGAGCAGGAAACTGAGCTCAAGGGCAGCATCTAAATCTCTTAAGTCAGACAGAGCTTCATTTAAGGCTGTGCCATATAGCGTTACAGTTGTGTTAGCAGAGAGAATTTGAGTTATGTAAAACTTTGCCTTAAAACTAAAAAAAAAAACTTTTTATTACACGTTGATTAATGCTACTTGGTGTTTTTTTTTTTTTTTTTTAAAGATGGGGTTTCACCATGATGGCCAGGCTGGCCTTGAACTCCTGACCTCAGGTGATCCGCCCACCTCAGCCTCCCAAAGTGCTAGGATTATAGGCGAGAGCCACTGCGCCCGGCCAGCCACTTGGTGTTTTTGATGTAGATGCCAGAGTTGCATGGTAAAATTACTGTAGTTTTTCTTCTCTTCTTCATGTAAGCAACTGACTATAGGAAACATTTAAAAAATATTTAATTACAGCTGGAAGCAGTGGTGTATACCTGTGATCCCAGCTACTCAGAAGGGTGAGGTGGCAAGATACTATGAGCCCAGGAGTTCAATATCAGCCTGGGGAATACAGAGCCTCTCTAAAAAAAATTTAATTATAAATTATGGGCACTTCCATCAGTAATTCCTTTAACTTTAATTAAAATAATGAACAATTAATGTAAATTGGAATTTTGCCTTGGAAGTTGATTTTCTTTTTTGAAACCTTAAATTTTTAAAAATCTTCTCTTAAACATATTATTTTTTGTCATTTTAGATTGTGAATCGGCACGGTCCTGAGGCAGACAGGCATTTATTACGCTGCCTATTTTCGCATGTGGATTTCAGTGGCGATGGTAAAAGCAGTGGCAAAGATTTCCATCAGGTATTTGGGGCTTACAAAGTTCATGTCCACTTAACTATAATTGTTCAATGAATTGAATTTTGGTCATAGTGTATGTATCACATGACACATACAAAATCGCATCCAGAAGTAATTGTAGCTGGATGGTGAAAAGGTGTTAGATTTTTCTTTTTTTTTCTGTCCGTCTCTTCTGCCTGGCTGTAGACTGTAATAGCTAACTAGTTCAGGTTTAGAGAGGTAGGGATCAGACCTGCCTGAAGGAAGCAGGAATGTGGGGGATTCCTTGCCTGAAAAGTTAGTAAGGCAGAGGGGATCTTATGTCTTGGATTGAATCTCTAGCTTGATTCTGAATCTGGCAAGAGTTTGTCATAATACTGTTTCCTTTTTTCTTTTTTTTTTTGAGATGGGCTTTCACCATGTTGGCTAGGATAGTCTTGATCTCTTGACCTCGTGAGCCACCTGCTTCGGCCTCCCAACACTCCCGGCCATTCTTTCTTTTTTTTTTTTTGAGACAAGAGTCTTGCCCTGTTGCCCAGGCTGAAGTGCAGTGGCACGACCTGGGCTTATTGCAACCTCTGCCTCTTGGGCTCAAGTGATTCTCCTCCCTCAGCCTCCCAAGTAACTGGGACTACAGGTGTGTGCCTCCACGCCCGGCTAATTTTTTTGTAATTTTAGTAGAGATGGGTTTTCACTGAGGTAGCCAGGTTGGTGTCGATCTCCTGACGTCATGATTGATTACAGGCGTGAGCCACCGCACCTGGCCCATGATACTGTTTCTTACAGTACTCTTGTCAGTGGGCTTTTACTTACTGGAAATTTTGCTGCTAAGAGACTTTGAGTAATTTAATGAGATTTTAAAAAAATACCTCTATTTTTATGACTTTTACGTCTTTATTTCCTGGTTCCTTTTATCTTTTTTTTTTTTTTTTTGTGGCTGAGTCTTGCTCTTGTCACCCAGGCTGCAGTGCGGTGGCATGATCTTGGCTTACAGCAACCTCTGCCTTCTGGGTTCAAGTGATTCTCCTGCCTCAGCCTCCCAAGTAGCTGAGTTACAGGTGCCTGTAACCATGCCCAGCTAATTTTTATATTTTTAGTAGAGACGGTTTACCATGTTGGCCAGGCAGGTCTTGAACCCCTGGCCTCAGGTGATCCACCTGCTCTGGTCTCTCAAAGTGCTGCTGGGATTATGGGCGTGAGCCTCTGTGCCTGGTGAGATTTTTAAAGAGTTTATTTTGATAATGTATAGTATTAGACCACATTTTAATGTTCTGAGAATTTTCTTAGATGATGATTAGTGCTAATGAAAATTCATTTTTTATTTTTAAAGACTCAGTTTCTGATTCAGGAGTGTGCGTTGCTGATTACAAAGCCAAATTTTATCTCGACGCTGTCGTATGCCATTGATAATCCATTGCACTATCAGAAGGTTGGTATTACTATTATCTTTAATAGTTTAAGAATGTGATCTCTTCTTAGGCTTTCTAAAAAGGCCCTAAGCCTTGATCTCATAATGTGATGTCTTAATATAAAAATTTCTAGTTGTTACTTTGGTGTGTCTTTTATAGCTCTGTAACAAAATCAAGGCAGTTTGTTTAATAATAACCAGAATCTTACTAAAACCAGATCATGCGAAGGCTTAAGTTGTTATTCCACGGTTCTAGGACTTAGTATAATAACTCCTATGTAGTAACATCCTGGGGCAAAAAGATGTTGTTAAAAACTTTTTGAAAAAGCAAGTTCTCATTTTAAAATAAAATTTGGTTTGTTTCAGAGTTTAAAGCCTGCACCCCACTTATTTGCCCAGCTGAGTAAAGTGCTCAAATTAAGCAAAGTACAAGAGGTGAGTGATTTAAGAAAAGAGGTGCAGACAAAAACAAAACAACAACAACAAAAAGCCATTTGACTCTTCGGTTAATCTAACTTCTCATTTCAGGTAATTTTTGGCCTTGCCCTGTTGAATTCTTCCAGTTCAGATCTTAGAGGTTTCGGTAAGTTACTTTTCCAAAAATATCACGAAGAAAGACTTTAAAATACATGGGTTTTTAATCATGAGGCTCTGTGGTTTAGACCGAGAGAGTAAGATAATCTAAAATTAATTTCTCTTTATCTGTGGTGAAAAACACGTAATACAAATGTTACCCTCATAACCATTTTAAGTGTACTGTTCCATAGTGATAATTGTATTCAGGTTATGTAATAGATCTCTAGAACTTTATCTTCCCTAACAGAACTATGCCCATCAGCAACTCTCCATTTTCCCCTCCCCACAGCCAGTCCCTGGCCATTAATTTCTTTATACCTATCAGCTAGATGGGTGAACTGGTGAACAAGAAGGGTAATTAGCATTTTGATGGTATGTGACTTTTTACCCATTATGGTGCAAAAATAACATGTGGTTTTGGTTTACCGGACTTCTAGCTGCCCAGTTTATCAAACAGAAGCTTCCAGATCTTCTGCGTTCTTACATTGACGCAGACGTCAGTGGAAATCAAGAAGGTGGCTTCCAAGATATAGCAATAGAGGTCTTACACCTCCTCCTCTCCCATCTCCTCTTTGGGCAGAAGGGAGCCTTTGGAGTTGGACAAGAACAGATAGACGCTTTTCTTAAGACGTTGCGCAGAGGTAAGGGAGTCTTTGTAGCCTACAGTGGATGGTTTTCTTGGATGATCACAAACACATCATAGAAGCATTTCTTTTCTTTCTTTTTTTTTTTTTTTATAAAAGACAAGGTCGGTTGGGCATGGTGGTTCATGCCAATAATCCTAGCACTTTGGGACACCCAGGTGAGCATGACACCATGCCTAGCCTGACATACTGGTTTTAGCTTAAAAAATTGGTCATTTTTGATATGTCCACTTCACCTCCTTGCCTATTGACCCTGTAATTTTAAGGTAAATCCTAGTTCTTTTATTGCCTCTGAGCTTTCGTATTTGAGAGAGATAATTATTTTTATATATGTGTGTGTATATATATATATATATTTTTTTTTTTATAAAGATGGGGTTTCACCATGATGGCCAGGCTGGTCTTGAACTCCTGACTTCAGGTGATCCACCCACCTCAGCCTCCCAAAGTGCTAGGATTACAGGTGTGAGCCACTGCGCCCAGCTTATTATTTTTAAAACAAATCTGTGACAATGGGTTAACAACCATTCTCATGGTTATTTTTATTTATTTCCTAATGTTTATATAGTTTAATTTTAATGTACATTAACATTCTCACTAATGGGAAACTTTCCACTTGACAGTGAAATAAATAGACTAATACTCTTTTTTTTTTTTTTTTTTTTTTAAAGATGGGGTTTCACCATGTTGGTCAGGCTGGTCTTGAACTCCCAACCTCAGGTGATCCACCTGCTTTGGCCTCCAGAGTGCTTTGGATTACAGGCGTGAGCCACCATGCCCGGCCTAGAATAGTATTCTAATTGTTTTTTGATGCTTTCTTTGTATGGGAATCATTAGTCCTATTGTGAAAATTTAAAGTAATATTAGGGTGTGAATTGGTAAATAGATACTGGAATCCCAATAGCAAATATTAAAGGTATACTGATGAGGGCCGGGCGCGGTGGCTCAAGCCTGTAATCCCAGCACTTTGGGAGGCCGAGGCGGGTGGATCACGAGGTCAAGAGATCGAGACCATCCTGGTCAATATGGTGAAACCCCGTCTCTACTAA